TTTAAATTCTGCTGTTTATCATTCCGCACTCTGACATTTGGTATTGTAATAATACTTTTAAGAAACTCTGATGTATGAAATGAACAAGTATTGTAACTCGTTCTCATTATTGGATCCTGGAGAAAAATGTGGATCTTTCGAGTTCTCCCTTGGGGTGTGCCTGACGGATACCGCCCACTGTAGCTTGCTTTCAGGGTGCTTAGTGTCTGGTGGAAGATGAGCACCTCTGTAAGCGTATTATTTCGGGCGGTTCTGCCACAAAGGCCATGGCAAGACCACGTCGCACAGGATGGCTGCCGAACTACCATCGTGCGAACGGTGCTGATACGACTGGCACTGTGGCACCACGCTGCCCCATGCCGTGGCGTGGATAGGAGACCATGACGACAACCACGTTCGGGCGTGCGCTGACATCAAGACAAGATGGACTTTCTTGCAAGCCAGGATAGCTAGTTCCCCTCCCTCAGGCTCACGGCCTTCCGGTCGAGAGAACCCAACTCTTTGTACGTGACCTGGCGCCGGACTCTATATAAGGGCAGCCAGGGCACCCTTCTAAGGGGACGGACTCTTGAGATTTCATTTGGGCAGTCCCTCTCCACTCTCCTACCTCTTCCACTCTTCTTGCATACCCCATTGTATGAACTTCAGAGCATTCAACCGAGGAACACACACTCGATCTTTCTCTGAGACTGGACGTAGGGCTCTGGCCTGAACCAATATAATTCCTTGTGTCTTTGGATGCTACCATCGTCTTCCTGGAGCAGCGCGACATTCATATAAGTTCACTCGTCGGGTGACAAAACACCGACATATAATTTCTCATGTATTTGTATTGGGACCATTTCTCCATCTGTTTTTAGTGGGTTGTAGTTTATTCTTTCAAAAATCATTTCATTACTATAATGTTTTTTACTAATAGTCACAAAATCATAATCGATAGAAATCGTGTTTAATATTACTACAAGTCTACAATGTTTTGTTAATAGTCACAAAATCATAATCATTAGAAGCGTCAAAGCACGTTTAATATTGGTACAATGTTTTATTAATAGTCACAAAAACATACTCCCTCCATCCCTTAAAACAATTCGTTCTGGAGCTTATGACGTTTTCCACAAAGAAATTCGTTTTGGGTGGTCCACAGTGACTTGAGACGAGTTTGCCCCTGCGATGGGATCCCACCCGCGCCGCTTGCCTTTAAGCACATCTTGGTAACCAGTCTAATATAGAGAGTTATTCATTGAATGGCCTCATCATGCTATTTAATAAGGACAAACAGGAAAAATATGCTCCAATTAATCACTCCTTGGTGTCTTAAATCATGTCCAAAACGAACTTTTTTAAGGGATGGAGGGAGTAATAGTTAGAAAGTGCGTTTGATAATACTACAATGTTTTATTAATAGTCACAAAATCGTAATCTTGGAACGTGCGTTCAATATTACTACTACTACTACAAATCCAATAGTAGCAATTTTGTGGCACATAATTTGCATATTTTTTTGATACGGTCAAAGCACAATTTTGGGTGGTCAAATTGTGCCCACCAAAAAGTGGAGGGAGTGCTCATTTTTAGCAGTACATTCATTATGCCATAAACAACTGTGACTATAACTGGTGGAATTAATTATAGTTCTTCAATAAGCACCTATTATAACAAAAAGGAAAGAGTTAATTATTTGCCTTTTCCCCCAAGGCCACGAGAATGCATCTCTTTGAAATTTTTTACTATATATGCTTTCGTGATGACACCTATAGATAGGAGCGCCAAAGATGGCCAATGGCATAGACCGGTCACCGGTACCATAGGCTGCATGGAGAAAAGACCATCAATCGGTGCCCCTCAACCCTAGTCACGAGAGTAAGGAGGGTCAAGTAAATCAAGGCGATGATGATAAGAAGACTATAAGAAGGAATGAATATTTATGTTTAGTGGGCAAATATAAAACAAAAATAATAGGTCCCCACATTTAGCATGTGGGGACCACTAGCACTCTTTCAAAAAACATGAACAAAAGAACTAAAACTTTTCCCTATTTTTAAAAATACTTTGTGGAAGAAAAAATATTTTTGAAAAGTTTGAGGAATAAAAACAAAAAACGGAAACATCATTGTTAGCCACCTGCGGTGGTGCACTCCTGTTTACCCTTGTCATGTTGAGCACTTGCTCCACTACACCGAGATCATCCAAACCAGCCACTCGTCGTGTCGAGCTCTCTACCATAGATGCTACATCATACTTGTCACTACCTTGAACTATATATGTCTCCCTCTTCAGCTTGGAGATCTTGTATTGCCCCGTCGTGACCCCCCTCTCTGGTAGCCACACTAGCACCATGGAAGAGAATGTGGCCATGGTGTTGTTTACAGAGCATGATGCGATGAATGAGGGTAGCGAATGGTGTTCGACAACATGGAGAAATATAATGTCAAGTAGTACCGGCTTCACATTGCCAGCAGTGTAGGAAGTTTCGCGGAAGAGGCAGTGGATCAAGGGTCCGAGATCTATGCGAAAAGCAAGGAGCGTTTCAGGGACAATGTTTTTCTCCATATTGAGAGGCTACTCACAAGTGTCAATGAGGTATTCACCAATAGACGTGCTAGCATTGTAACCTTGTTGACACTTCACAATATTATCATACTTACCTCACTATATGTGGCCTCATTTCCCCATTTTGACTCCCCCGAACTCATCCCCACGCAATTGCACTATTTCTAGTTCATGGACACAAGTATCTCATGCGCCGCATTATTTGTGGGCACTCTGTTTTGTTCATTGTGTTTTCTTATAGGAAATATCGTCTGTTTCCCTATTGTTGAGTAATTTTGCATGTACTTATATGGGATAATTTCTACCATCCATTTTAGTGAGAGTAGTTTACTTATGCAAAACAAACTTTTTACTGTTAATTATTACTATAATATTTCATAAATAGCTGCAAAACATAATCTTCAGAAAGTTCTTTGAGATGACAATCTACCTGTATCGATTTTGTGCTACATGATTCATGTATATTAATTATTAAAATAATTGTTCACAAAAGCAAAATTTTTGGATAGTCCAATTGTGCCCACCAGAAAACCGTAGAGAGAGTATCATATTTTAGAAGGACACTCATTGACATAAATAGTTTCTACACCACTTGGTGGATATGAACATTGGGAAAGTAGAGAATTAATTATTTGTATTTTTAAGACCAAATGGATGCAACTCTTTCAAAATTGCCTCTTCACTAGGACTTGTTTGGCAAGGTCCTGCTTCTACATTATAGGAGTAAAAGTGGCAACCTGAGAGCATCTTCAAGAGAATTGTATCTAACTTGCTATTGCTGTTTTTAGCGAAAGCTCTAGAAAACTAGCCTCCATAAGACTAGCCAATACGATTGTATCCTATTTGACATGCTATCCTGTGAGCCTCGGCAGCCAAATTTGGCTAGCTGGCGTGCCTTGCTATCTTGGTGTATGCGAGGCTGACAGCTAGTGCCATGTTTGTGTTGCTCCAAACTCCATTTCTTTCTGTTGGAGATATAGCTAATCTGTTGGAATATGTTGAATTATGGAGAAAGAATCTTTACGGAGTGGATAGCTAAATAAAAATATGGAACACGAAATTTAGAATGTCTCTTGGAGCATCTTCAGCAGTACTACCTATTTGTCTGTTTGGGTAGCCGCCTATTTTGATACTACTCAAATTTTGCTTTCAGCTCCAGCAATAATATCTATATTGTGGCTCTTAAATCCAATTTAATAATCAATGATATGTGGAGCCCACATGTCATCCTCTTCCTCTCGTTGTTCCAATGAACTCGGCCATCGAATAACACCGTCGCGGGGAGGGGAACGAGGGCGCCGCCGGCGAGGGCTGTTCGTGGGGAGAGGTGCCTGACCGGCGAGGGCCGCCCACGGGCAGGAGCTTTGCCAGCGAGGGCTGTCGAGCTCCGCCGGCAAGGGCCGCCCGTAGGGGATGAGTGTGGCCAATGAGGGCCGCCTACGGGGAGGAGCTCTGACCGGCGAGGGCACTCGCTCGGGCGTGGCCAGCCCGTGGGGGCGGAGAACTGCCAGCGCCGGAGAGGGCCATCGCGGCCGCACTGGGGATCCCACCGGGGAGGAGGCGCCCGACTGGCGTTGGGGCAGGACGCACTGCGGGGGAGAGGAAACTGCCAAAGAAAAAAATAGGTGCCCATCTGTTGGGCCAATAGAAGTAGGTAGTGGGAGGGGGAATTTGTTGGACCAACAAATTAAATTTGGGTAGTCTGATAGGTAGCCTGCTGGGGTGTGTTTTTGGGCCTCCACTACCAAAATGTAAGATAGATAGTGTGTTTAGGCAGTCTGCTGGGGATGCTCATAGTTTGGGGTGGCGTTGGAAATCTGGTTGCGGAACTAGGGAGAGCTGTCCAAAATGGGGCCTTAACAAAGATAATGTAGCGTTAAAGCTGAAAAACAGATGACGGGGTGTACTTGCTAATGTCCTTTGGCTCATCTCCTTTGGCATGCTAGTGTCTAGGAAATACAGGCTGCCCATGAAAAGTCACATGATAAGTATATACTGCCATTAAGCTGCGTGTAGATGACAGTATAAGCACTAATCTTGTATGGAAAAAATGTAGTATTCTAGCAATCTTACATTCCAAAGACCAAAGTAGTGTGAGCTTTGGTAATTTCTGTCAAACATACTATAAATGCAAAAGCTTTCAACCAATGCATTAAACAAAATCAAATGTTTCAATTGATGAATACTCTGAGCTTCTGAAAACATGCATTTAATCATACTGCCATACGTAGTACAAGAGGTGGTACAAAACACATGAACTGAGAAAAAATAAGACCAACATCATTTCAGCTTAGACCTTTATCAGCAGCAGCATTAGTGCATTTCTGAAAGTTGCCATTACCTACATATTACATTGTTATTAACTTAGAATTAGCAATATAAAAATAAAACCTTACCAGTAGGCAGTACGACATCATGCCTGCAATACATGTCCCATGAGACTTTGAGGTTCATGTTTCATCATCTGAATCATCTTGAGGTCCTTCACCATATTGGCCAAAGGTCGGCCTATTCCATGGCTCGTTGGTGGTGCATTGCTGAGCAATGCCAAGCATGCACACCATCTGTTTCTGCCGTAGGCCTGAAACTAGCAAGCAAGGATCAAACAATTTGCCCTCATGTCCATGAGCAATCATCCACCGCACCCAGTCGACGAGGTTCCCACCCCCGTCTTCCATCTCTTGCCCAGTAGGTGGCCGTCCAGTGAGCACCTCCAGCATGACAATGCCAAAGCTGTAGACATCCCCCATATTACTCGGGGGGACGTAGCCAAGTGTGCCAGCAAAGTTCACTACTACAGAAAATCTTTTGCACAATGTTTCACTTTGGGGCTCCGAGGCGGTTGGCCTGGTTGCCCGCCTCGGTTATTTGAGGCAGGGCAGTCGAGCCAGCAACCGCCTCGGTTAATGCTTAACCGAGGTGGACACTGTAATATAACCGCCTCGGTTAATCTATTTTCGGAGGGGGCACGCTATAAGGCCCGCCTCCAAAAATAGTGGCCCAACTCCCAACCCAAGAAAAGGTCCATATCCATCTTCTACGGGGCTCATATATAATATAGACTTAGGGTTATCTTCTCACTTACTCCCCACAAACTCCTCCCGCATAGGCAGCGGCGCCCTTCCCCACAAGCCGCGCCCCACCCGACTCCCCCACATGCTGCGCGCCCCTCCCGGATCCTCCAGCAGACGGCGGCGCCCCTCCCTCTCCCTCTCCCTCTCCCCCACAGGCAGTGCCGCCCCTCCCTCTAGCTCCCTCTCCCCCACAAGCGGAGGCACTCCTCCCTCTCCCTCTCTCCCCCACAGACGGCGGCACCCCTCCCTCTCCTCCAACCACGACTGGATCAACGTGGAGGCGAGGAGGAGGGCGGCGTGTGAAAGCATCTAGGCCCCTTGTTGGGTTTCGGTGATTAATGACAATACAAGATTACTATGACTAACGTGTGTTTTGCAGAGGCAATTAAGTTAGGTCATGGTAATGGTGATCAATTGGGCAATCGAGGTGGTCATGCCCCTACGATGGAAATCGTTTTGGTTTTCAAAGGATGGACGACAAGGTTAAGGATGACTAGTTCTAAGTGTCGATTGGAGTTGGAGTGACACTTGGAGTAGTTTAGGACTTTGTTTTTTTTCCTTTGGCCATACTATTAAGGGGGGTATGGACGGGTAGCTTGACCTAGATGAGTCTAGTGAGTTAGGTGTGGTGCACACTTGTTTAAACTAGCTCTAGGTAGCTCCTACATATGCCTAAGATCCAATGGAGAAAACTTCATTCACACATGATCGAGAGTTGAAGGTGAATGGAGGGTCAAATACTGACCGGACGCTGGCCCCGGTGCGACCGGACGCTGGCCGCAGGGTCCGGTCAGTTCATTTGATCAAGGGACTGTGTTCGGTGCGACCGGACGTTGGAGTGGTCAAGTGACCAGACGCTAAAAGGCAGCGTCCGGTCGACTCCAGTAAGGTTCCAGAGAAGAGAATCAGCGACCGGACGTGTTCGGTAAGTACTGACCGAACCCTAGGGGTTCAGCGTCCGGTTGAGTCCAGTAAGGTTTTAATGTGGACTCTGTCAGCGTCCGGTCAACACATTTTCACTGGTTCAAGGGTTGAACTGACCGGAGCGTCCGGTCAACATGACCGGAGCGTCCGGTCACCCCGCAGAGGCATATAACGGTTCGTTTTTCAGGCTGCCTTATAAATAGAAGCTCCACTCGTGTGTGGAGTTACTTTTGCTTATTCCAACAGCTGAGAAACACGTTTGTGAGTGCCAAGAAGAGCAAGGTCCTAGTGAGGTGATTGAGATTTGAGAATCTAAGAGAGTAGCCTCATTAGTGAATCAAGAGTAGTCAAGTGTGCATCCATCTTCTCATTAGGCTTCGCGTGGTCAAGTGAGAGTTCGTGCTTGTTACTCTTGGTGATCGCCATCACCTAGACGGCTTGGTGGTGATTGGGAGCTTGGTGATTACCCGGCGGAGCTTGTGGGTGACCCAACTCAAGTTGTGAGCGGCTTTGGGTGATTCACCGTGACGGAGTGTCGAAGAATCAACCCGTAGAGAGCACTTGATCCTTGCGCGGATCAAGGGGGAGCTACACCCTTGCGCGGGTGCTCCAACGAGGACTAGTGGGGAGTGGTGACTCTCCGATACCTCGACAAAACATCGCCGCGTTCCTCTCTCTCTTCATTTACTTTGAGCAATTCAATACTTGTCTTTACATTCATAGAATTGCCATGCTAGAGTAAGTTTGGAACATAGGTTGCTAGTCCGTTGTGCGTTAGTTTATTAGAAACACTTTTCTAGGCATGATGGGTTAATTGGGCTAACCATAGGATTTAATTATTGCAAGAAAATTTAGAATTAGCCCAATTCACCCCCCTTCTTGGGCATCTTGATCCTTTCAATTGGTATCGGAGCCTCGTGCTCACACTTTTAAGCTTAACCGCTTAGAGCAAGATGTCTCACGGGGATGGACCTCCTCCTATCTTTGAGGGAGATGACTTTCCATATTGGAAAATCCGCATGGAGGCGTACTTAGAGGCTCTAGACGTTGGTATTCTTAGAGCCGCCTCGCAAGGCTTCCCAAAACCTCGGGATGCTACTAATCTTCAAGGCGATGAGGTTAATTATGAAAAATGGAATGCAAAGGCTCGCATCACCATCTTTAGAGGCCTTTGCAAAGATGTGTTCAATCGCGTAAGGAACCACAAAGACGCCCATGCTCTATGGTCGGACGTTTGTGCGCTCCATGAGGGAACTAAGAGTGAGCGTGAGGAACGCTATCATCTTGTGATTAAAAAGCTAAATTCATTCGAGATGCTTCCCAAAGAATGTGCTAATGAGATGTATTCACGTCTGAATGTTCTTGTAGAGGAAGTCAATGGGCTTGGACTCACTCAAATGTCACCATCTGATGTTGTGAGAAAGATCTTGAGTGTCCTCCCCATTGAAAAATATGGGCATATTGTGACCGTGCTATACCAAGGTGATCTTTCCACCGCTACACCGACACAAATCTTGGGAAAGATCAATGCTCATGAGATGTACATGCACATCACCCCACAAGATGGCTCATCCTCTAACAAGAAGAAAGATAAAGACTTAGCATTCAAAGCTAGCCAAGAGAAGGGCAAGGCAAGACTTGAGTATGAAAGCTCAAGTGAAGATGAAGTTGATGAAGAAAGTCTTGCTCTCATGGTGAAGAAGACCACCAAGATGCTAAAGAAGCTAAACAAGAGTGGCATCAAGTTTGATGGCAAGAAGAAGAAGTTCTTCACTAGCTCAAGAAGAAAGCCAATCTCTGAGATGGATTGCTATAATTGTGGCGAACTTGGCCATCTAGCTCATCAATGCACAAAGCCCAAGAAAGACAAGTTCAAGAACAAGAACAAGGGCAAGAAAGATGACTCAAGCAATGAAGATGAAGATGAGAAGAAAAAGAACAAGCCATACAAGAAGAGAGATGGCAAAAAGAGGGACTTCTACAAGAAGAAGAAGAGTGGAAAGGCCTACATTGTCGGTGATTGGCTCACGGACATTGATTCATCAAGTGGATCATCCGATGATGATAGTGACAATGAGAAGGTGGCCGCCATTGCTATTGATTTTGCATCTTCACCGCCACCATCGCCATCATCCTCTACACACCTATGCCTTATGGCCAAGGGTGAACGCAAGGTAACTAAGAATGATGATAGTAGTGATGATGAGCAAGCTAGTGATGATGATAGCGATAGCGATGATGATGATTCACCGACATATGTTGATCTTGTCAAAATACTAAGAAACTACACTAAGATCATTAGAAAGAGTAGAGCTACAAATGAAAAACTTGATGCTAAAAATGATTCACTCTTAGCTAAGTGCGATACATTGGAAAAGGCTAATGATGAGCTTAGAGAAACTAATGATGCTATATCATCCAAACTCAAGGAGCTAAAATCTTCTAAGAAAGAGCTTAAAGATAAACATGATAAACTTGAGTGGGTGCACAATGAGCTCATCACTAGTCACAACAAGCTAAAAGATGAGTATACAACTCTTAAGATCAATCATGATACCCTTGTCATTGCTCAAGAATTCCTACCAAATGAGCCACATGATGCTACTAACCATGTTGTTAAGATTGATATAGCTACATCATGTGATGATTTGTTTGATGAGAGCATTGAGCAAGGATCTAGTGGCAAAGGCAAGCAAGTGGTTGTGTGCAATGACTATGATGAATATGTCAAGCTCAAGAACACAAATGAGAAGCTCATGAAAGATCTTGAAGAGATAAAGAGCCACAACATCATTGTGCTAGAAACCCTTGATCATGATGAAGAGTTGATCCTTGAGAATGAGAAGCTCAAAGAAGAGAACAAGAGGCTAAAGGAAGAGAAGAACAATGATGTTCTCAAGGAAGAGAACAAAAAGCTCAAGATGGAGAAAGAACATCTCAAGGTTGGATTGAGCAAGTTTGCAAGAGGCAAGCATCTTCAAAGTGAGCTTCTAATGAACACCGTCATGAAGATGGATAGAAGTGGCATTGGATATGTGGCACATGTCGAGAAGAAGAAGGCTCAAGTTCAACAACAACAATCAAAGCCAAAGCCAAAGAGATGCTTTGAGTGTGGACAAGAAGGTCACTTTGCTCATGAATGCCAAACTCCACCTCCACAACCCTTGTCCAAGCATGCTAGACCTTTTGCCTTCAATGCTCACTACATGCTTAGAAAGGATTCTAATGGAAAGATGAAAGTCATGTTCTTAGGACCCTCGAACAAGAATAGACCTAAGAAGATTTGGGTGGCTAAGTCACTTGTTGAGAAGGTGAAGGGCCCTCAACAAGTTTGGGTTCCTAAAGCTTGAATCTCTTGTGTGTAGGTGAACTACAAGACCGGTGGAAGTCATTGGGTTATTGATAGTGGTTGCACTCAACATATGACCGGTGATCCTCGTATGTTCACCTCACTAGATGAAGAGGTAGATGGACAAGAGAAAATTACATTTGGAGATAACTCAAAGGGCAAGGTTAAAGGATTGGGCAAAGTGGCAATATCAAATGATCATTCCATCTCCAATGTGCTTTATGTTGCTTTATTGAGTTTCAACTTGCTATCCGTTGGACAATTATGTGATCTTAGGTTCCAATGCTTGTTCACCGAGAAGGAGGTTGTTGTATCCAAGGTAGATGACAATCAAGTGATATTCAATGGATTTAGATACAACAACTTATATCTAGTGGACTTCACCTCCAAAGATGCAAATTTG